GCCGTTGAAAGTCTGCTTCTCGCGTTACCACATATGCCAACTCGTCCTTTGACCACATTGGATTGCTGCTGCTAGTTGCGTGATGGAGGACCCGAGGCCGGTGGGAACTAGTTCTTTCGATTGTCGGTATTGCGGAAGCCCTCACTTCCTCCGTCCGATCATGCCCTCGACTAGATCTACGCGGTCGAGAGGTCCTGACAGACGCCGGTGTCGGTGTAGAGGCTAGCATAACTGTCAAACGATCGACCATGTTGCCAGCCAACTCTTCAAATTCGGTGCGCATCTCACGCCGTAGGTCAGTCCGAAGTTGTTCATACGCCTCAGTAGTGAGCCCGACTTCGAGTCTGCCATCCGGACTTGGATGGCCGGATAGACCTAGCATGCCAACCACATCGCCGGTAGAAGCTGACAAGGCAAGTCGCTTGATCTCTTCATATACCTGCTGCATCTGCCGGCCAACCAGGAGGGTGGCGTTTGTCGAATGGCCTCCAGCCTGCCTGGTCTCCCGTGATAGCGACGTTGGCGGCAGCATGCTGGCACCGCTGAGCATCATATCACGGACTTCAGTCTGGTAGGGCGCGAGGATGCCGGCCTCCGACATTCCGACCTCCAGCGTCCCCGGTACAGCTGCCTTGGCTCGAGATGAGCCGACAATATGGCCCGTTGGACCAGCCTTGGCCGATTCAAAGTCGACCGTCTGCGAGTTGCCTAGGGCGTCAAGCGCTGTGGAGCTTCCAGTTTCTTCCGGGGGCTGGCCGCTCTTCGAGGTGGCATCACTTGGGCGAAGGCGGTGGCGCGGCTGTGCAGTCAGTTGCTCTTGGTTGTCGGGTAAACCAAAGGCCGTCAGCACATCGAAGAGGTCTCGCTTAAAGCCCTCCAAATGACCGATCGAGCGAGCCACCTCTCGCTTTCTATCTTCACGTAGTTCAAACCTAAATAGGCATTGCATATGATCTATATATGCCAAGTTTAATAGTTCGATGCAAATGGTCATCTAATAATGGATGTAACCAGGCAAACCTGGCAGAAGGGACAACTTAACTAGAAATTGCATTCCATAATGTAACCTTGAAAAAGGTCGGAATTGGTTTGACCTCCTTTTCGCAGCTTGTTCGGAGCAACAAAGAGACCTAGAGGTACGTAACTAATTTTGAGTCATCTGCCACAGGATTAATGGCAATTTCCAGTATCGGCCCGGCGACTTGGTGTATCCCTATATGTTTCGCTGGTATTGTTAATGAGAGGCACCATCCTTACTACAGAGTTACAACTTAACAAAGTGACAGGTAAGGGCAACCCCCTGACCAATTTTCTGTTCAACCGCTATGACATATCTCTTCCCATTTTTCCTAGCTCCTGTCGCTGCATCCCTATCTTAACCCGAGTTCAATGGCCAATTTACCTAGTCACGTCATTGTGTCTTGGTTTGCTATAATGTCACATAAGGGCATGTCTCTTCTAGGGGATTTAATGAAGCGTAATCACTTTCACGACTGGTTCCAGATGCCATTTACAGGGCTTATGACCTTCAACGGCCAGATGCTGGAAATCATTGTGAATACGTTGGCAGAGGAGGCAGAACTTAGTACGCTCCACAAGGTCTCCCTATCGCTCTGACCAAGTTGGGAAAGCAAGGTAAAACCAATTATATTCAGCTAAAATTGACTGCGGCGAAATCCAAGGCCACACCATCTTGTTCTTTATATCTACTATTGAAAAAGTTAGGTTCAGCTTGGCAAATGTGGAAACCAGTGCTAAAAGTCAGAGGACAAATTAACTTTCGCCTTCCAAGCAAAGGTCATTTCTTGCGCAATGAGCTTGATCAGTGACTCAGATCTCATTAACTAAGACTTATGCTATTAATTTTTCGAATCAAAGTGTATGAAGAAGAGATTCATTGGTCGATCTCACCAGATGAGGACGGATGAATCTCATTGTATTGCAGCCGTTTGGCTTTTATACGATATTACTCCCTCATATCGGGTGAAAACGTGCTGAGCTTTCGTCCATCATATGATGGACATCATTCGAGCTGGGTCTATATAAGAAGTAAGATAAAACCGGATAGTGTTCTTGCTTTAGTATTAACCTGAGACTTTTACAAGAATGACACCCAGCTCTGACGATGTCCATCATATGATGGACGAAAGCTCAGCACGT